GAATCTTTGTTCTACAGTTCATTATTAACAAAGATCACGAAACAACAGCGTGGGGCCCATGATCCATTTCCACAGTGAAAAAATTACATGTTTGGGCAAGTATGGCGGACCTTAAGTGACGTCATATTGGTATGGCATATTGAGATTGCGGACTTTAGCAACTTTCTTGATGACATAAAACAAGAACCAAAGTGGGGCCTATGATCCAGGGGCATGGGATAATAATTACACGTTTGAAAATTCACCCACCCCCCTAAAAGCTACACTTTAGGGGTGCCATACCGGAAATTCAAAGTGGGAATTAACTTTGTTTATCAACCCCCAAAGCCTTGGCGTGTGGCCTATGATACATGCAAAAACCCTTTCGGCTACCCGTCTATAAATGCGAGACCGTCTGTTTAATCTTAAAAATATAAACTATTGAATTGGCAGTTTAATAACGAATCAAAAGTAAAAAAGATTAATTTTTAAATTCCCTAATTTGTAGTTAATTAACAGAGAGTTAAACGATTTTTTTTTGCTTTTTGTCCATTAAATAGATCATCCATTTTATTGCAAATTTGACCAAGGCTTTCAAAGCATTTGATTTTAACACACAAGAGTATTATTGCATTTTTGTAACCAAGTTAACAAAAATGAAACACGATTTTCCAAATACATAAAAAAGAGGAATTGTACGGATTTGAATGTTAATGGAAACGAATGGGATCGAAACAAAAAAACAGATTCGCATTTAGGTTATGTAATTAAACCGGTTGTTTTAGAATAAAAAAAAGAAAAAAGATTTTAAGAATATTTCTTTTCTTTGATGATTCTCGCTGGCTCGATATTCGTGGGTATCATAAGACTATAAGGGTTTTCTCCAGAGTTTCATTTATGTTCAGGTTCTCTATGTGATATTCACTAATTATATGTACTTCCACCGAAATGTCATCAGAGACTTGTTGATTATTAAAATATAGACTTTTAACTACTAGTATATTTGACTGTTATTTATATATTTATTTAATATGCTTTTGTTATTTACTAGGCTTTCCAATAGATGCAGGTATATATAGCACATGTGCGGAACCGACTGCAGCGCTGCAATGGAGGAATATCAAAACGGTAATTACTTAAAAAATACGTCGATAAGATGCATTTCTGCGTAATAATTCAAATGTTCAATTATTCTCAGAAAACGCTTGCTTGGTTGCCAGATTTTGTAGATCAAATCATTTTTATTTTACAAACGCAGGTATTTTGATCAGATCAGACTTGCTAGACAAAAGTCATTAGTGAACTTCAGAGAAATAATTATATAAATAAACAAACAAACAACATTCTAATAGTTCCGAATATGGGTAATTTGTTGCACCACATTTAACTAATAAAGTGGATAATCAGAATCATATATAAAAAAATATAAGTGCATTATTTTATTTCTTATTTTACTTTTCTTGTGACCATGCACAACTTTTTATGAGGAAACATTTTTTTTCTGAAATTACTGATAAAAAAACTATTCTTCATAAAAAGTTCTTTGTGATCTAAAACTGAAAATTCAACCTTCTGATACCAACTTTTATCAGTCGTTTTTTGATATCTACGAATATTTGTTTTCACATTTGGGGTCCGGGGATGGTCTTAATAATCCGTAAAGGGATTTTTGAGGTTTGTTTCCCAATTTTCAAAGTTATTTAAAGACTTATTTCAGATAATTCTGACCTTTCCGATTTCGATTTGCGATCTACGATATATTAAATTAACAATTTTCTAATTCAGTTTTACGTCGCTTAACGTAGATTGAAAACTTAACTCACGAAGACGAAGAATAAGCTCAGTATGTATTTAAATGCATTTCTCGTTACACAGATGCTGCATTGGAGGTATTTGTAGATTTAAAAAGAAACCTGAACGTTGTTTGTTTAGAACTAGCATTTCATTTTCTGTTTAGGAATCTTGACGGTCAATGTCTTGATAGCTTCACGGTAAGGACATACGTCCGGAAAACGTTATGATCTGGGTTCGACTCCCAGCAATGACAAGTTTTTTTTAAATCTACAAATATTTGCTTTCACATTTGGGGTCCGGGGAGGGTCTAAATAATTCGTAAGGGGATTTTTGAGATTTGTTTCCAAATTTTTAAAGTTATTTATAATAAAATTATTTTATATAAACAAGTCCTCAAACTAATTTGGACCTATGGCATTTAGCTTTAGGGTTGTGCTAGCAATAGTAATACTAATAATAATCCAGAGATTCCAGGACAAAGTGTTGAGGAACATTGTCTATGCTGCTTGGTACACTAGAAACAGCGATTTTCATCGAAATCTTCAGGTGGACACTGTTAACCAGATTATTACCAGATTCGCTAAGAGTCATAAACAATGGCTCCACCAATATGTGAACGTTGAGGCGATCCAGCTTCTTAACAACACGAATCTGACCAGAAGACTCAAAAGAGTGAAACCTTTTGAGTTATCCGAGTCATTGTGTTAATAATAATGCAAATCATTGTGCGATTTAATGTTACACGTTAGTTTGGTGTAATTAAATTATCAGACTCTAAGGAATACTAGCGAGTAGGACGTTAGTTTTTAAGATTGCAACCTTGGTTAAGTTAGAACAAAATTACTAATTGATCAACAATTGATCAAATTGTCATAATAATAAACGTCCCATTTCAAAAAAAAAAATTAAATAACTGATAATTTTGTTAAACTAATTGTTAATATATTTTTTTAGTTATTGAGATTAAATATAATTAAAGTGATTCTTGTGAAGAGTCGATAGATAGTAGCATTTAATACAAGATATTCGTCTATGGTTACAAAAAAAGCATAAAGGAGAATGGGCAATTTTGCCCCAGCTCGCAATAGGAATAAGATATATACCAAATGAAAGATATCGGTAAGGAGAACATTTGTTTTTATTATGACTTCTCTCAATTGTCTGTCCGTTTCGAGTTATACTTAAGTTGAAACCATATGAAAAACTTTTTTAATATTAGGCATTCCAAACTGAATGGCTACCAGTAGGTTTTGACGGGTTATGATATGGCAAAATTATGGCAACCCTGTAGGCCTGGTGATTTGACAAGGTCAATGAAATAGATAGTTACATAGATTGATCATCCATATTTTTCAAAATAAACATAAGCTTAAAGTAAAAATGTAAGCAATTATTTTTTTAAATATCTAAAGGCTAAAAATTGGTTTTAAAACACATTTTTGCTAAACCGATTAAAATTAATAAATATTTGCCAGGCAATATGGCCGCTCGTAAACGACCAGCTTTGAGCAATCTATATAACTATATATGTATCATGGACCCTGTTAATGACAACATGACAACAGGGTTGCCATATCTAAACTGTCATTACCCACTGGTAGCCATTTGGACAGGTCGTTGGAATGCCTAATTGGTTCTGTAAAAAAAATTAGTCTTGATAAAAAGTTCTACGTGGTCTAAAACTTATAAAGCAGTCATCAGATATCAGTTGTTTTAAGCAGTATACAAGGTTTGTCAAAACATATGATTTTTACTCGATAGTAAAGTACCTTATTTTTTAAAAGAATTTTATAAAGTAAAGTTATTTAGAATTAAAAGTTATATTCAAATATGCAATTACAGTCATTTAGCATAAAAAATCAGGTTAGGTGATTATTTACATTTTACATTATAAATTATTTGTAATTATAAATTAAATAATCATGAAACCTAAAGTTTTGGACCATGCAGAACTTTTTATCACATATGAATTTTTTCACAAAACCAATAATAAAAGTTTTCCATATGGTTCCAACTTAAGTAGACTGTATAATAGTGCATGTGACAAAACACAGGTTATTTTTTTGTTAAATACTGTCTTTGTTAACTCTGAAAGTTCTTTTGTTAGTGGGTTCTGACATAAATTCTGCTTCCCCCCCTCACGCTTAGCATGGCAACGACTAAACAAACACCCAAATCCCGTGGTGAAGAAATGCGAAGTTGTCAAGTTATGGATGATTTAATTTTCATTTTAGTTTAGTTAAAATCAGTTGTGGAGAAACTGTTGCCATGAGAACATTTGTCATGGTAATGACTAAAAAAAAATATAAATACCGTGATGAGAAAATGCGTAGTTACCAAGTTATATGATTTAATTTAACTTAGTTTAGCTGTAAACAGTTATGGGGAAACTGTTGCCATAGGGACGCTTGTTATGGTAACGACTAAATGAAAACCCAAATCTTGTGGTGTGAAAACACGTAATTGTCAAGTTATGGATGATTTAATTTAGCTGAAATCAGTTACGGACAAACTGTTGCCATAGGGATACTTATCATGATACTAAGTAAATAAAAAACCAAATACCGTAATGAGTAAATGTGTAGTTGTCAAGGTATAGATGCTTTAATTTAACAGGTTGACTGCCACAATGTTATGAAAAAAGTCCTTCACTCCAGCCGATAGATTTTTTGCTTGTAAAGCTTGAAGAAAATGCATGTAACAGTATTTTGGTAACCATTTTCAAAAAACTGCAGTAATTTTTATTTTTTGATTGAGAATCAGCGTATGTCTCACGTGGCTGTAACACATAAATTTGTCACTATAGCCACGAGAATCATAAGCTGCTTCTCTGGTTGATTGTTTTGGTGGGGGCTACTCGTGACGTCATGATCTTGTCTGCTGTTTGGAGTGTTCGGTTCGGCCGCATACATCAGTACCAATTGGTTTGTTGGGCTGTTTGGATGTAGTAGCGTCGTTTTGCACTCACGTGTTTCGAAATGAATCGAAAATCCTATGAACAGGAGCAAAAGTATCTCGAATCTTTATGGCAGGTAAGACATGTGGATAATTTTATTGTTTTTTTATAGTTTAATAATAATAATAATAATAATAAATAAGTTTATTCATTCACATTACAAATGTAGGTATAACATTATAAAATAGTATAAAAATTGAACAAACTATAAAACTGCATAAGCATAAGCTTGTTTAGTAAACTATAATTTGGCTTTTAATTTTATTTTTAGAATGTATTATCAGAGGAGAGTGATGAAGACCTTCAGGACGACCCATATGAAGAATCTCCGGACGAATATTTGCCGTCAACCCCATCTGAAAGCTCCGACGAGGAATATGAAAGACGCCAACCCAAAAAGCAGAAATTTGCTGACAAAACATTTATAGATGAGCAACGACCATGTACTTCCAAACAAGTTCTCCGGGATAGGGATCCAATACAAGAGACTATAGAGCAGGTTATTCAAGCTCACCAGAATTTTTCTGACACTGAAAGCGAAGATGAAAATGAGCCTGCCGCTTCAAGCGATGTTACTTGGAACAATGTGTCTGGTACCTTTCTCAAGACTTTTACATTTTCCGAAGAACATCCAGGCGTGAAACCAGAAATTTATGAAACATATTTTGACAAAAGCCCGTTTGACTTCTACAAGATATTTCTGAGTCAGGATATATTGGTGATGATGGTGGAGGAAACCAATAGATATGCGGCACAAATGAAAAACAAAGAGACGCACCGGAAAGCTAGAATAAATGACTGGCAGGATACAAATATAGAAGAAATTCAAATATTTATAGGAATACTATTTTGGATGGGTCTTGCGCAGTTTCCGTCTATCGAATCTTACTGGTCTAAAAAGAACATTTACCACAACAGAGTGAAAAATTTAATGTCAAGAAACCGCTTTCAGATTTTAATAAAAGCTTGGCACTTCAGCAATAATGAAGAAGTATCAGAAGATCGATTGTAACGGTCCAAAAATTGTGTCCCACCTCTAGTCTATAATTTAGTTTAATTTGTGTGTAAGATTTAAATTTCGATTTTTGTGCGAAAAGCTTAAAGCTTTACCTGCGATAGTGCCAAATACTTGTTCTAGGAATATTTTTTTGGGTTTAACAATTTCGTTAAAAACAGGCAATTGTGTCTTTATCAAGTTAAAATTCCGTTTTTGCGTAGTAGCTAACGAGAACAGAAAAATTCAGTTGTTACTGAGTAGACTTCGCATGAAATGGGTGTGATTTGCTAACTTTCAAAAATATAGTGATATTTAAGTCATCCGATAGTGGGTTTAGTTTTGGAAGTTATTTTTCGATTTTGGGATTGTGCTTTACCTGTTGAATATTGGTATTTTGGTGCTCTGGTTGTTGATTCCCAAAATTATCCTTAATAAGGATTATTCCACACTCCACGTGCGCTGTGTTCTTGAGGTTCTACCGGCATTTACCTATAGGAAGACAACAAAAAGGAGGGCGTATTAATAGTGGTTGTTCCCTCGCTTACCGACCCGTAGTCTTAATTAGAAAAAAAACCCCTTGGCCAGGGGTTTTTTTTTTTACGTTGGGCATCATTTGCTTTGGATTGTTAACTCGAAAACCGGGAGCCTGTCCTAGGAAGTCCTTGGGAGAACGTGATTCGTTCTATTTACACCTCTCCAGCTCGTGTCTGCCGGCTCGAATTTGAGAACGTTCTACGAGATAACCACCGCTGGAAACACGCAAGTTGTTCTTTTTTAATGATATTCGAACAGTTTTTTTTTTTTACTTATAAATTAATGAACATTGTTTTTTTTTACATAGAGTAGACAATCTGACTCTATTATTTCTTTTTTTCTTGTGGGGATTTATAATTAACGTTAGAATTATTTTTGTGAGCGGAATGCTAAGGATTTGGGCTTTACCTACCTATATTATTTGATATTTGAGGATATTACAGAAATCCTCAGCGCATGCGCCTGAGCTCAAGCGACGCCGAATTAACATTTCGATTTTTTTTGCCATTTATTTTATTCACTCCTTTACTATTTTTGATACAAAAAATTTCCCTTAGGAAGCCGCATAAAATTTATTTATAAAAACTTATTTGGTTAATTTATATGGTTATAATATTTGGGCAATAATTAAATATTTATAACACATCCTCAATTTTTACAATATAAAAATTGGTCAATACTATAATATTTATAATATTTCGTCAAGTTATATAATATTTTTAATATCTGATCATTTTACATAATGTTTATAATATTTCGTCAACCTATAAAAAATACATTTTGGAAATAATTAATACTGCAAAAAAAGATTAATTATTTTACTTAGTTATTTTACTTATTTTATAGCAAAGTATTTTTTTTTCTCTCTTGGTGAAACTTCTTATCATACTGTTGATTTCTAACTTGAAAATAAATCCGTAAATAATCATTTTGTATTTTATTACTCTTTTTGTGTCTAGGTTGGGTACATTAAGGTACCGGTTTATATTATTGGTCTTTTGTTAAATTGAGGGTCAATACTTAGACAGTCAGGTGCTCGGGCCAATTTAACTGGCCCCCCCCCCCCCTTTTTTTTTAATTGAGATTGAACCACCCCATCTCCACTAGAGTCTAGCCGCGAGCCCTAAAATAAATTCATCTTCGTAACCGTACTCGGTCTAGCATTCAAATTTAGATATTATTTTACTATATTTTTTTGTTTAACAAATTTGCGGTTATATAATTGGCGCCCAACGTGGGGCATCGATATTCTAAGAATATTGAAAGGTTACCATTTATTTTTTTAACAGGATATTGAAAATATTTAATTTTTTTTTTACTTTTACTTAGGAAGTTTGAAACTCTGAGTGAATAATAATAATTTACCTTGTTTATACTATAATCGTAGTACTTATTTTTTTTTATGGGAAAATTTTTTTTTGGAAAAAAAAGGTTTTTATTTTTTTTATGAATGTTTGTTTTTGTGTGGTGAAATGTAAAGTATTATCTGCTTACTATTTTGATTCATCAATTTTATAATATTAGTCTATTGCTTATTTCTCATTACTTTGGTGATTAGTTTAGTTAACATGGCTAGAAAAATGGTTGTTGGTCGTTTAGATAAAGATGAACTTGAATATGAGCTCAAATATAGAGGTGTTGAAGTAGGGACTGCGGAGGAAATGAGACATCGTCTGGTTATGACATTGCGTTTAGAGAAGTCCGGGGAGAGCTTCAAGTATCCTACGTACCCTTTTTCCTTTGCAGAAGATTACGCTGCCATAGAGTTAAAGTGTGACGATTTATCATCTAGAATCGATTCTCTTTCAGGTGGACCATCGAGTAGCGAGGCTGTAAAATTGGAGACTAAATTTTCTCATGTTTTGGGAAGATTAGATAATATGGTTGTCGGAGATATTGTTGATAATCAAACTCGTAAGGCTACTTTATTAGCCAAAGTTTTAACCTTATATGATTCTTTTCATGGAAAATTGTATCCTCCACTGCCTGTAGGGGTTCAGGTACCTCCAGCTCTTAGCATTATCCAAGGTGCAACTTCTAATCAATCTTTTGAAAGTGGTGTTGTTCACGCCCCTAGTTCTTCTCCAGTGTCACAAAACGTTAATTGTTCGCTGCCTCAAGGTAAAATGGTTCCTCCTCACAAATGGGGTTTAGAAAAATTTTCAGGTACTTCTAAATCTTTGTCGATTTGTGCTTTTTTTGAAAGAGTTGAAGAGCTACGAGTAGCTAGGCATGTACCGAAAGAGGTTTTATTAGAGTCAGGTATTGATTTATTTAGTGAAAAAGCATATCAGTTTTATAAAGACGTTAGATCTCGTGTTAATTGTTGGGAAGAATTGATAGCTGAATTTCGTTGTGAGTACCTTACTGCTTATCATGATGATGCTCGGTTTGAGGAGTTAAGAAGAAGAACACAGCATTCATCCGAATCGATTGGGGTTTATTTATCAATAATGAACAGTTACTTTCGTAGGCTTACTTGTCACGTCCTTGAAGAGACTAAACTAGCCATTGTTATAAAAAACTTACATCCCTTCTATCAGGACCGATTAAGAGATCCTCTACCTTCTAGTCTTGAGGAGCTCAGATCTGTATGTCGTCGGATGGAGGAGCGTCGTGACGCTATCAACAGTTATATTGAGCCATCTGGGAAAAGATCAGGTGTCCTTGAAAAGGATTTAGCTTTTGTTGAAACTGAAGAGTTTTTGAATAAATTAGAGGTTTCTTCTACTTCTACTTCTAGTTGTCCTCCCTCTGGAAGTTATAATATTGGTGATAAAAATATCGTATGCTTTAGATGCCGTCGATTAGGCCATCGTGCGAACAATTGCAGATTGCCTAGGAAACTGTATTGCTTTAAATGTAACCTCGAAGGTTACACAGTAAAGACTTGTCCAACTTGCAATCAGGGAAACGGGGTAAAGCGCACTTAATTGGTCGAATAAGTAGCGCTAATATTCAACCGACCAATATGCAACCGATACTTGATTATATTTTAGATCACGCTGTGGATGATGAGAGGCCCTATCTTAAAGTTAAAGTTTTTGGTTTAGAGATACTTGGGTTACTTGATTCGGGTGCGTCCAGGACTATTATTGGAAGTACTGGGTGGAAACTTATACAAAGTTTAGGATTTTTGATTGATAGTTCCAAGAGAACTAATTGTAGAGTTGCCAATGGTCAAATTTGTGATGTTTCTGGGGAATGTTTGATTCCGTTTTGTGTTCGTGATAAATTGCGCGTTATATCTGTATTGATAGTTCCAGATGTGCCTCATGCTTTGATTTTAGGTGCCGATTTTTGAAAAATTATGGGTGTCGTGCCAGATCTTAGGCACAATGAGTGGCATTTTTCTGACACTCCTGCTGTACTTAATGTTGTAGATCATTTACGTAGTCAAACTGTTTTAACTGAATTGCAAAAGGTGAGACTTGAGGCATTAGTTGATAGGAATCGAGAATTAATGGGAACAAATTTGGGCTGCACTGACGTTGCGGAACATGTTATTGTTTGCAATGCAGCTCCAATAAAACAAAGGTATTATCCGGTCTCTCCAATTATGCAAGCGCATATTGATAGGGAGTTGGACGAAATGTTAAATATGGGTGTAATAGAAAAATCTAAAAGTCCTTGGTCGTCTCCGATATTAATGGTGAAGAAAAAAGATGGTAAGTTACGTTTCTGTGTGGATTACAGAAAACTTAATGCCGTTACTGAGAGGGATAGTTATCCTTTACCATATATTTCTCATACTCTAGATAAGCTGCGTAATGCTCATTACCTGTCTACATTGGATATAAAATCTGCTTACTGGCAAGTGCCTGTCGCAGAGGCGTCTAGGCCATTTACAGCATTTACTGTTCCAGGGCGAGGTTTGTTCCAGTTCAATAGGATGCC